AGGGCATTATTCCCAGAAATTCTGCACCCAAAGGGAAATGTTGTGCTTATTTCAGTGGGAATTTGACCTTCGATTTAGGTGAAACGATCAGAGCTCTTGGACGAGCAGTTCATCTTTCTGGTCCCTGGAGCATTGTTCATGTACACTTGCCTACATTTCATCTCTGTCCTTAAACCTTAAATGGTGTCAGTAAACACAGTTGTTTGATTTGGATAGTCTTACTCATATTCTTCATGACATTTTAAGTACTTAACAATTCTCCTATGACTTTAGAGCCTAATAAAATCTGTTGACTATACATAAAAGAATAAAATAAAAGTAGACCTCTCAGGTAGGCCTGTCAGAAAAGATGTAGGCTTCAGTTTACAGTGCACCAGTTACAAAGCTCAGAGACAGAGGTATTAGGGTTTTTAACAGCAGTCCAGATAGAGCCCTGTTGGGGGATAACTGTGCAATTATAAAAGAAGAGTCATCACCATACAAGTTTGATTGTGACCAATTTTATTTTAGAACTGCATTGTAGGGGGCTTTATGGTAATGTAGAGTTTATTCAATATTTTTATTTGCATATTTTTTAAAAAATTCCCAAAGCGATGCTTTCACATACATCTTCCCAATAGTAGTCAAGTCTGGAGATGATTTACACTGTAGCCTCAAGGATGCAAAAACAATGAAGTAAATCACAATTCTGGGTAGGTTTTTACAGATATCTGCTACCAAGATGAACAAAAAGCTCAGGCTTTTCGGTCCTTTTAAATAGTTCTTCACCTAAAGCAAGAGAAATACACTTTGGAAAAGTTCAATTTTGAATCCTTCCTGTGGCTTTTACATAAGAAAGCGTTATGCATTTTAAGTTCTGGGACTCATGCAGTTCATATTTGTTGCTGTTTTAGGCACTGCTATAAGTACTAAATTGCAACAGACTCAAGAAATCGAGTTTTCCAAATATGATTATTAAATGGTTCTCAAAATAACCTTATGGAAGTTACACTGTCTGAAGGATGGTGACTTGACCTGTGATGCATTTAACATGCACCGTTTTTAAATTTTGCTTTGTCCTAAACATCATATAATCAACTAAAGGTAGATTTGATTACGGACTTCAACAAGGCTCACATTTGAGAAATGAAATAACACAGACATGAATAGATTTATAGGTTCATCGTATCAAAGAGGTAATCATTTGTAACTTTCCAACATTTTAAAATAAAAGATTATATAACTTGAACTCAAATGTGGCTTGAAAAAAAAAAACATAGCATTCTGGATATAAAGTGTTCTGTTAACATTGCTCTTCAGTACCTTGCTTTATTTATTTATATATATTTTTGGTATGTTTGCATATTGCATCCAGAGCTACAGATTTTCCACAGTGCTTTTCTGCCTCATTCAAGTATAATAAAAGTAGAAATCTATAGAAGCTCTAAGGCTAAACAAACTGTACATCATACAAAAAATTAACTTAATTTACACAGTCAGAAAGTATTGGAAATGCCGTTTATAAATCTTATCAAAGATTCATCACAAAGGATAATACAATCTACATATGTGGACTCACCATACAAATGCCATTTTGATTTAGGTGGTGCAGAAGTGAGTATCTGTTAAATGTACACATGTAGAATCAGCAATTTGTACCGTATATATTTCTTTTAAACAGTATTATCAATACGAATCTAAGGTACAGGATTTTCTTATTGCATATTTATTGTTGCTGAGGCAGTTAGTTATGATACAATAACATAATATTCATAATAATTTTAAATAAACACAAACATTTCTCCTGGCAACAATATAAAGAATACATTTTTCCTAAAATCAATAAGAACATTGCTACATACAGATTTACTCAAATACTGAAAAACATGACCTTAAGGCATCTGCCAGAAAACCAGATGTACATATTTATATGAACTAAGTTATGCAAGAAAAAAATATTGCACAAAATCCTATTATTTTCAAAATAAAATATTCTTCTGTCTAAATGTATATAATTCCTTATTTCTTCCTCAAATCATGTTAACTGGCTTGCTTAAAACCAGTCCGCCTCTTAAATAAGGTTTAAGAAACACACGCTAACAATATTACTGGGCTTGACTCAGGAAAGAGACATTAGTACTGACATAGGGTTTGTAAAAACTATTTCCTAAATTAAGAAGTACTTTGGAGGAAACTAGATTTTGGGATTCATTTTACATTCTTAAATATTCTGATTTACAAATATCTTAAGATTCAGGGTCTTTTATGCCAAACAAAACAGAATTTGTATAAGAAAATTTATTCATGAAAATAATGAATCTTTTCCTGAAAAATCCAAATTTTCTACAAGAGAATGAAGGTCTATCAATTGAGACATTCACAGTGTTCTCTTGATCAGGTAATCTACTTGCTCACCTTAATTAAGAAAGAACTAATTCATTAGAATTCCTGAATCCTATTGTTAGAACATTAGCATAGAATAGCACTAGTAACAGCAGTCACAGTTTTTATTTAAAAGGGAAGGACTGTTTCTACAGAACGCTGTTATTCATATAAAAATAGTAAAAATTGGATTCCCATTAACATGCATCCACACCTTCAGTTACTCCTAAACTGAGTACAGTGGCTCTAAATATAGAAAAGGAGCATCATTCCATTATAGAGAGCCCTGTGCTGCCTGTTTATCTGTTAATAAGATTAATAATAAGACACTCAGCTTCTAAAAGACTCTGAATCTGCCCTTTAAATGTGGATATCTTAGCAGCATAATATTTAGCGTAACAATTGAGAAAGTTAATAAAATTAGAAATGATAGTAGGGTTCATGCTTAGAGCATGCTTTAAATTAAGCAGCTAGATTTTTTTTTTTAAACTTTTTTTTGTGTGTGTTAGAATCTCAGCTAATAACTTCCAGGCAAAGCACATTATTATTATTCTAATAAAAATTTTCAATTCCTTTTCCTTTTAATTTGTTCCTTCAGAGCAGTGACTATGTTATTTTATTTCCCCACATCCTCAGCTACTGTATCCTGCATATAACTGGTATGAAAAGTCAATGAATAGTTTTTAAATGAACATGTTATTAACTAATTTTAATTAACTGAAAAAATAATCATGCTATATTTTGGTACCTTTCTAAGACACGTTAAAGTAGGTAACCATCAAAATATACCACTTAGTAATATTTTCACTTAAAAAAAATAGCTGCTAAATTCATATACTATTTCTCTCTACCCCTGAAATACAACGGATGCAATATCTAAGGGTAAAAAGATAAAAGTGAGAGTGGGATTCTGAAAGAACCATGACTCCATCACAGGCCAGATAAAGGCTATGAACCAAGGCCAAAAGTCTTTTTAGTTTATACAATTCTGTTGTATAACAGGTGCTGCTTCTTTGAAAAATAATTTCAAACAGCAGATGAGCTTACAAATATTTGGTTTAGTTACCATAGAAAATATGAGCACTGCAGAATATAAGATAACAATTTTTGTTTATTTCAGAACTCACCCCAATTTCACTTTATTCTCACTATATCCACCATAATACTAGGAAGTTCAATTTTAAGAGCAGACTTTGAATATTCAAAATTTTACTGGTTTGAAATACAAATACTTGCTAGTATTCTTCTGGATGTTTTTTGTTTTTAACACAGAATAAAACAGCTAATTTTGCATTAAAATAAGGCACAAATCACTTTTAAATACCTTGAGACAACTGTCTTACTTAGGAGTGGCTAAATATCCCCCAAACAAGAGTATTGTAACCAAACACCTTGAAAGGTGGCTGAAAGGTAGAACAAAATTTAGATTTCTGAAGCCATGTTGTTGATTAAGCAAATGGACTAAAAACCAGATTTGCCCTTATGCTCTACTCACAGCTATTCTTCTGAGTTCTGAAAAAAAAAAACCAAAATACCATATCTCATTTCAAAATTCATATTAAAAGGCTGATTTACATTCTTTTCACAAATCATGAAGGAATATTTGCCAAGCGGATTAACAAACAGAGTAACCTTTTCTCCTTTCCTTCTGATTTAAAACAGCTCTTTTGATATATGGACTTCTTCCATTATAAACTTCAGTAAAGTAAGTTGGAATTTTGTAATAAGCTTATAAAGGCAAAATTTGACAAGAACCTTGAGTCTTCTGTATTAAAAAATGGGGATTAAACACTGTTTTCCTTAATGCATACAGAGTCCATAAAGGGACACAAGACTTGTCTGCTTATATAGTCATAATGAACAAGTGTACCAAATAACAGATATTCATTTAGATTTTGAAATGTAGGTTTTAAAAAACCTTGGTCATTATTTAAATTATTTAAATAATTTTTAAAATAATTTTTAAAATAATTTTAAAATTATTTTTTAAATAATTTTTATTTAAAATAATTTAAAAATTATTTTTTAAAAATTTAAATAATTAAATTATTTCAAACTCTCTTCTAGGATTTTAACTGAAATTATATTCTTTCAATAAATATTTAAATGTCATCTTATTGGGGTTCTTTAATGATTTCTTGAACAAATAGTCTTAAATGTAAAAAAAAAATGATGATTGGGGATGTATAGAGAAATATACTGAAAATGCTAATAACAATTTAACCATACTATCACTGCTGTCTTCCCCTGATTATACCTGTTTATCTGTCTATCATTAAGTAATCGGTACATGATTTTTTCTCAGATGAATTCCGAAACTCAATAGTGAATCTGAGAAAGAAGAAACAAATTTTCTACACAGAAGTATTAACAATAATTTATGTAGATACTTCTCTGCACTAAAGAGGGGAAATTATGACTCCTCACTCCTGCATGTAGTGACTTCCTTCCAAAAACTACAGCATGGAAAGGGCAGGAATAACTTTAGAATCACAAACACTACCTTGGCCAGGTTATCAAGGTCTGTGTCAGGATTCACAAATCATGTTGACAGTATGTACCCTAGATCTGACCACATGAAAATGGCACTTTACTTCCGTGACCATCTCCCCAAAGCCCATAATCCCAGTCTAATCATGAAAAAAAAAAAAAAAAAAAAGCCAGCAAACTCCAAGAGAGCAGCAGTCTACAACTTATCTGACAGTACTCTTCAAAGCTGTCAAGGTCATCAAAAATAAGGAAAGTCTAAGAAACTGTCACAGCCAAGAGGAGCCTAAGGAGACATTCCAACTCAATATAATGTGGGATTCTGAATAGGATCTTGAAGTGGAAAATGAATATTAGGAGAAAACTAAGAAAATCTGAATAAAGTATGGACTATCAATATTGGTTCGTTAATTGGAGCAAATGTACCATTGTAACATAAGATGTTAATAATAACAGGGATAGATGGGAACTCTGTACTATCTTTGCAATTTTTCTGTAAATCTAAAACTTCTAAACTGTAAAGTCAATTATTTTAAAAACTGAATTTCAGATGATAATATAAAGCATTTTGATAGAGATTATTAGTTAAAAAAAAGAATTTTTTTTTTTTTGTCAGGCCAGTTTTTGTTGTATTTGGCTTTCTTGGGTGGACCCCTAAATAGCAAAGGCATACACAGAGACTGTGAAAACTTTTTAAAGTATCTCATTTGTAAACAGAAGTCATTAACTTCACATTGTAATTCAGTACTTCATATATTTTACTGAATGAAAGGTAAATGTATATTTTTACACTTTTTGGAAAACATGGCTATAGTGCTTTATATAAGCAAATTAAGTATTTTCGTAAGAGAGCTTTTTAATCTTGAAAAGATGAATTTTGACCTTGATTTGATGAACAGAAAAAGGCATTATTGCTCTGCAGAACACTAATAACTTATCCTTCAAACTTTACACATACTTTCATACATTATTTAAGTATGCTTAATACAGCTTTAAGATTAAGGCAATTAGTGGGTTAACGTTTCATCAGTTTCAGGCTAGTTTTGATAGTTTTGATATCGTGATCAGTTCATGCTCAACCAGATTAGTATAGTAGCTACTGGTTATGTGCATGGGTTATATATGCAAAGTTAATTTAAATAAAATGGATGGCATTAAGCACCAAACACTGGGAAATCTTATGTTCAATACATACTTTTAACATACATACAAACTGGTACCTGATTTAAAAGCACAGTAGAATTTGCTTTATATTTAAAAATCAATGCATTTCATATATCCTTGAAACGAACAAGTGAGGAAAATGTTCCAAATGCAAAAAAAAAAAAAAAATTAAATAGTAAGAGTTGCCATTCCTACAAATAATTCTGTTTATTATGCGCATTGCATTGAATCTCAAAATGTCTCCATAGAAGCTTGGATGCAAGATTTAAGTTTGGTTTCCATTTGTGTTTTTATCTGAAATGTTCAAGCTTTGTTGGAAGTCAGAAGTCATATGACATAATGACACCACTTCATGGAGCAGTCCAATATCTTCTGAAGTCTCTTTGGCTTCTTTCCCTTCTCTCTCCCAGGGAACAAAAGTTGATGAATGCCGACCAAGACTAGGTATAAGCAAATCATCTGAAATCTGGCTTAATGTTTCCCTCTTTTCTGTTTTTCCTTTCTCAGTCTGGGAAACGTCAGGGGAAGTGAGCTGGAAATCCAATCCTGAAGTAGGGTCACTCACTTTGTCAGCACTGAAGTGCTTGTCACTGTTTTCCTCTTGCAGAATAAATAGAGAATCTGTCAAACCACTAGAGGAAACCCGCTTCCTGGGAGATGGAGGGAGGTGTTTGCCATGGAGGGCACTATCATCCTGTCCAAGATTCCACTCTGCTTGGTCACCAGAACCCCCACAGAGGAGAGCCAGATTATTCTCACTAGGAGCATTAGATTTATTCTGAAAAACGAAGAAACAACAAATTCAGAAAACTTTTAATAAGCCTTAATTTGGTATATTTTTTCCCATTTTGAAATACATGTTAATAGTATTAAGTTCCTCCCAGAGAAAATATAGCCTTGAGAGTTAATTTTAAACATTTCCAAATGGCTCTATTAACAGGGATGAAATGGAATGGACTTTGGTTTCCATTGCCTAGCAGCTGTCACCTATCAAATTCAAACTAGATTATATAATTAACACCAAGTTCCGAAGTCATTTACAATTAGAACAGGACTGTTATTACTCATTCTATTTCTGCTGTTTCTAAAGCATTCAGTTGAATTTGCATAAAATCATGTTAAAAAATAAAATCCTCTTCATTTTTAAAGTAATAAAACAGAAAAAGATGATTTGAATGAATACATTTAGTACAGTTTTGTTTTTTTTTTTTTTTTAACTCAGAAAATACGGGGAAAAAGTGAAAACATTTCACATTTTTTTTTTTTTTTTTTTTTTTTGAGATGGAGTTTCACTGTTGTTGCCCAGACTGGAGTGCAATGGCGCGATCTCGGCTCACCACAACCTCTGCCTCCTGGGTTCAGGCAATTCTCCTGCCTCGGCCTCCTGAGTAGCTGGGATTACAGGCACACGCCACCATGCCCAGCTAATGTTTTGTATTTTTAGTAGAGACGGGGTTTCACCATGTTGACCAAGATGGTCTCGATCTCTTGACCTCATGATCCACCCGCCTCGGCCTCCCAAAGTGCTGGGATTACAGGTGTGAGCCACTGTACCCGGCACATTTCACGTTTTAAAAATTCCCCAGAGACAAGTATAAAATTGGATTGCAAAGTAACATTACTGCTTGACAAAATAATTTCAATTAATGACAATAAACACCAGAACTAGATAAATAAAAGGGAAAATACTAGAATTTTATTAATAGAAATAATTTTTGGTGATTAAATTTTATCATATTTTAAAAGTTTTGACCCTTACCTAGTTAGAGGTTAAATGCTTCTACCAAAAAAGATTATAAGATCCTGTAATCACAGCAAAGGCAAGACTATTTCCTTCTAATTTTATAAGTCAAAAAACCGACTCACCGTAGGTTTGTAATCAATGTCATCCATTGATCTAAAGAAATCCAAGCTCTTTGCAGCTGCCAGCTTCCCCTGATCTGAGCTGTGTGTGCTCAGTGTATCAAGGATCTCTCCTAGTAAGTCCATTTCACCTGAGTACGGAGTCTTCACTCTTGTTTCAACAGAGTCATCACTTTCATAAAGATAAGCAGAAGCTTCTTCACCGTCTTCAGAAGATAACCTGAAGAAAAATAAAACATGCAGTAGCAGGTAAAGAACCATATTTGCTGCATGTAAGTAATCTCTCACCAATTACATTACATTAACGAGAGACTTAATGAGAGTTAACAACAAAATCAATTTGGTTCATGACCAAATTCTTTATAGTGATGTATATACCAATTCAAATACAGAAATATTTTGTACATGCATTAAGAACAAATAAACAAAAAGTTTATAAAACTGAAAGTAGAATTAGGGCTTTTCACAGTTTAATTCTGTGGAATTTGGAACCTTTCCTTACGAATATTAGACTGAATTACTTGGAAAGTTTACTATAGCCTAAATTCACTTTCAATATTTAACATGGTTTCCCCATTTACTTATTTTAGAGAATGCATATTCCTTTACATAGAAATATATTTAACGAAGAAAAAAGAATGTTCATTTTGTAATTGACATACATCAACTGTAAAAAGCTAAACATCTATTATTTCCCTTATTAAAATTAATTTTTAATGCTTTTTAATACATTTTCATCTTCTGACATCACCATAGGTTTAAGTCTCCTGTGCCCTCATTTCCATTTCTTTCTATTGACTATTATCACTGTTCCTGATATTTAACCTTCCTCTCTTCAGAATGAGTAAGAGCCTAATTTAAGATGGACCTCTACTTCCCCTAACACTATCCCAGATATCTCTGTAGACATTATTGTTTTCCAAGAACAAGATATTTAAGATCCATCTTAGTTCCTGTCCCAAGATATCCCCCACAACATTCCAAGTACCACTGGGTCCTTTTGCTGAAGAACACTGTAAAAGAATTTCAACATCTGAGCTCTAGGAGCGCATATTCTTCGAAATACCCTTTATAACCAAAAACTTCTGCTGTTAAGCCATGTGGCTTCACAGGACACCAAAATCCATCACTTACTTGCTTGCTCTTTCAATGTCATCATCATCATCATCATCATCATATAGAGCACCATCAAGGCTCTTAAGAGGCCTTTTTAAGCGTGCCTGGAGAGACAGATTGACAATAAATTGGCATTGGTAGTTTAAAAGAACGCTGTTGAGCAAATTTCAAAGAAACGACGTGATTTGATAAGAAACACGTTTGCAAGAAATATGCATTCAGGGTTTTTGAATATTACCCAATAACTTGACAAACTGGGACAGGAAGAAAGGGAAGCAATAAGGTATATTTGCCTCAACACTTATAAATAAAAAACACCAATAAAAAACACAAATAACTGGATTGAATACATAGGCACAGTCACATAGTCCTTCAGGCCCTGATTTAGAAATACTTGACCTATCATACCCCCATGCACCCGTTACACAGTTTCAACAATGATCAGTATTTACCAATTTGTTTCTTTCATCCCTGACCCACACTCTCCTCTACCCCAGGTATTTTAAAGCTGTGCTTCTCAAATCATTATGTGCGTACAAATCTCTAGGGACATAAACAAATGTAAAAGTGTAGATTCTGGTTCTATAGTGTTTCTGGGCCTGAATTTCTGCATTTCTAACAAGCTCTTAGGTGAGGTCAATACTGCTGAATCTGAGTGTCAAACTTTGAATCACTTTTTGAAGCAAATCCCAGGCAACATCTTGATTCACCTAAAGAACTTCACTATGTATTTTAAACATTTTTTTTAACATAACCAAAATATCATTATCATATTTAGAAAATTAATAATTGTTCTTTATATCTTATATTACTCAGGCCAAATTCGTATTCCTCTATTCCTCCCCAGATTTTTTAGTTCGCTTCTTTGGATCAGAATCCCAACAAAGTTAATATTGTATTTGGTTGATGTGTTTCTCAAGTCTCTTTCAGGGGACTCAGTTCAACCTTCCCTCTCCTATACCCTGTCCTCATTTACTATAAATTGGTAGCTACAACTGGAAGCTTGGCCTCAGTTTCTTTTTCATCTTCCTTTGTTTTGGGCAATAATATTACATGGGTATTGATATGTGCATTTTTACTGTATCACATGTGTAGCCACATAATGTTTTAATATCTCATTTTTGGTGGTACTAAGATTGATTAATGACTTCAGGTATGATTTGTTGAGCCAACCATTATACATTTCCTAATCAACTTTTGACTTGAAGGTTTTAGCATTCCATGATAACCACTGGCTAAATCCACTGTTTCATTAGGGGCTAAATAATTATGCTTTTCTAGAGCATTCCTTCTATATTTATTTGCTGGCATTCTACAAAGAAGAGCTTTACCTTATCAACTATTTGACTATTCCAAAATACAATGTACAGGAAAGACAGGACAAATCCTTGATTTCTTTCCTTTTATTTAACAATTTTCAGAGTGATGAGCTAGTTAGTGTCCTAACAATTTCTAAAGGCAAGTCATGAAGGTTTTTAAAATTACCATTATTAGTAGATATTTGATGTTGTTCAATTCACTACAATTCCTCTTCTTGATGTTCAAATTGTTCCATCTTTGAAATGTACTATGATTATGTTTTTAAAATAGTCCTTATCTTTTACCCAATAACTTGACAAACTGGGACAGGATCTTGAAATATTCTCATATATCTTGAAATATTCCCAGATTAAATGATATGCTTTTGGGCATTTATTTCAAAATAACTTAATGGTGGAGAGATAGCATAGGTGGGACTGGGACTGAAATAAGATTGGCCATGAGTTGATAATCGGTGAAAGCTACATTAAAAGACCCCGAGGATTTTACAAGCTTCTCTTTCCTCTGTATATGTTTGAAATTTTCAAAATAAAGTTTTTTTTTTTTAATGACTTCGTTATGTTACCAGTGGTAGCCCTTTCAAGTTGACTGCTGTGTCCTTTGAAATCAACTCAGAAGTGTTTAATAAGCCTCATGCTTTTGGCACAATAAGATGTCTCATTTCAACTTAGAATTTTTCTGCATCAAACCTGGAATCAGCCATTTCTTTTTTTTTTCTTTCTTTCCTTTTTTTTTTAATCCTGGTTTCTTTACATGGGAAATGGCATTTAAAGGTTAGAGTCTGGGTGCTATGGGTGCTCATGGCTGTATGCCATTCTTTTGAATTAACAACAGTAAACTTGAATTTGGACACTTCAACCATGACACCAGAGAGGAATAACTTTCTGCCTCTGACTTTGAGTTCCCAATCTAGAGAACTGTCTTCTTTTATTGCAGCCACAGAGTAAGCAAATTTCTGGAACCCACAGGACTGATCCCTACTCCACCCTCTTTATGCCACTGCTTGTGAGTGGCAGAAAGGAAGGATGAGTAGCAAAATATGTTCTTATAACCCCTACTTGAAACATGTAGTGAGGTTCTCACAAATTCAGTGATTAAAAATATATCTGGGCCTGTAAGTGTCTAAAACTGGGGACTATCTCCTTACCACTATAAGTTTAAGGTACATGAGTTAAACAGAAATACGCAGAGTGGCCTAGGAACAAAGCCACCACTCACAGCAATATTTCTGTGGGAAAAATATATTTCACCCACTCCCTTCAAAACTCACAAAATACGATACAATCCTTTGTATCTGAAGACAAGCCATTATTATTACAATGAGCTCTGTACATGCTTGGCTTTATGCCAGCTAGAAGGTCCTGCATTTAACTTTTTGTTTACAAATGAAACAAACTGAAACAAAGTCCATGAGGAAGCTGAGACTTTCTATTGCTATCAATTAAAATGACTACTACTTAAGAACTAATACAGGAAGCTGAGAGAATACATACTTAACAGTGTTTATACTTGTAGAGTACTTTGCAAAACACTCTCACATACACACAGGGAATATAAAGTTAAATTACGTCAAGTCTTTGAAACTGAACAGCTCTAAGTCTAATGGATCCCATAATAAATCTGGAGGTATTCCCAGAGAAGCATATAGTTTGCCCAAGGACACACACTTTATCAAAGCTAGGAACCAGAAAAAAGAACTTATGTCTTGCCCCGTTGTGTTGCAAGTCCCTTGTTCATTTTCTTCCACAAAAGTTACTATGCTCTGTAGCCGTCTGCATATAACACAGCTTCTCTAGTTTTTAAAGTCCAACTTTTTTTAATGAAGCTACTGCTTTTTCCACAAACATCAAAGTCATGATATAAGCTTCACAGGTACATTTAAATTTTAGTTTCATATTTCCTACCTAGACAAGGATTCTATCAATTTCTATATAGGGATGTTAAACAGTGTATGTTATGATGAGGTTTAATACTAAATGTAAAATTAGAAACAGAAGTAAAACTGATTAATATGCTGTTTTCATTTCCTTGGCTGTTAACCTTTGTGTTATCTATACGTATTGCACATGTACTTAAAAATTAATATACGAAATAAACTTTTCTAAGTAATAGTCATTGACTATATATCAACCTGCATTAGGAACTACAATTTATATATAAGAAATAATGTCCAAACATGTGGTAGAATATGTCAATTACTTGACGACCTCTACATAATTTTGTTAAGGTCCCCCAAAAAAGAAAAAAATTAAGAAGAAAAATAATAATAATGTAATCAACATTTAAGATAGAGAAGAAGAGCAGCAGAGATAATCTGGGTCCCTACAATCTCAGCGGCTGATGGTGTTCTGGTGGGTAGCTGCTCTGAAGTACAGTGCTTTCAGGGGAAATAAAGGACAGTTTTCCTCATGTTCAGAACATACAACGCAGGGCAAAAAGACGTGGTCACAATTTTAAAAATAAAGGTCTTTTGTGGGGAAATGATAGTAAATAAGTTTAGACTGCAGAAAACACATCATGTATTCTTAAGGGCGCTAATATGTAGCTAGTAACAGCACATCATCCAGGTTAACAAATCACAGACATATCATTATCAAAAAAATGCATATGAAATAGGTAGAACCTGAAATGTAAATGACTATGAAGAGAAAAATAATCTCAACCTACACAATAAAAATAAAATATATATCCATTCTTTTAACACAATTGGGTATAGCTTTGAGGAAGGGTGTACATGTCTCTCTCCCCTCTATTTTTTCCAACTGTAAAGATAATAAACAGATGCAGCTGCCAATAGAATAAGTCTTGTATGTCGTATATATTCAGAGAAATATATTCAGATCTGGATAGAAATCTCACAGTAGTATGTGTACAATGAGAAATTTTCCAAGAGTCAAAACCATTTTCATCATAAAATGTGACCTAGAACTTCCTGAAATGCTCACTAAGTCATATGGCCTATATTTGTGAACAGATGCTTTTTTGAAAATAGTGATAATGAAATAGATTAAGAGATTGAGCCATATGCAGTTAACATTATGAAATACCTAAGGAAAGAAAAAGTAATTTAATTTCCAGAAAAAAAGCCTACAATTTTTTTCAAAGCTTTGCTAGATGATAAGACAGAGGACATGCACCTAGAAAATCAGTTTAAGTCACAGGTCTGCCTCCCATTACTTCTCTACCTGTTTGCCATTATTTAACCCTTTTCTTTTCTGTATTTTGTAATGTGCAGTTTCTGCACAAATTTTTAAGAAAAGGAGAAAAGACTTTTTTCCTTGATCAGATTTCTAATAATAACTAGCTTTCTTTAACATTTTGTCACAAGAAACATGATTATGATACTGTTTTTTGCTACCTCTGTTCTTTAGGAAGCGGTAATAGACAAAAATAACATTTTCTGAGTGTTCATAGTTAGAAAATAGCCTTTTCTACGTATAAAACTCAAACTTTGGAAGTTCTGATATTTTTAAACATTATTAATATTTTAAGAAATAAAGTTATTATATTTAATAAAGTCACAGAAAACAAAAAAAGCTATACCCTACATATTTTAGTTTTGGTATCACACTGATCTTTATAATCTCAGGCAAAATCCTTTTTTCTGTTATTTCTTTAATGTATATCGACATTCATAATCAATTCTAACCTGGAGATTAATAAATGTACTTAAGTACCATCTTATTTAGAGAAATAATACCCACATAAAAATGTACATATGCTGTTTCAGCCAAATGAGATGCAACCTTTTCAGCCCTCGAAATACCTCACAATATAGATTAAA